TGTAGCTCTTCATTTTAGCTACTATTAGTAATATTTACATCTTTTTAGCTCTTTTTTCGACCGTTTCAGCTCCAAACGAAATTTTTCTCTGGCAACACTGGTGTTCATTTGCTTTTATGTACTCGTAGCGAAAGCGACTACCTGTCAACCTGTAAGGATTGAATTTTGCTGAAATTCATACATTTATCCACCAAAGTCGTTTGATAGAGTGATAAACTTTGGTTAAATAGATTTCCATACAATGTTTGACAATTCATTTATCAAAATGACAAATTTATGACTTTATCAAGTTTATCACTTTTGATGAAGACCCCTATTGAGTTTCAAAGAAAAAATCGCAATCAGTGATGACAGTTAAGTCTCAAATGGGTTCCAACATCAGAAAGTAGTTTTTGTGAAAATTGCAAATATGTCGTCGATGCTTAGTTGCTGCAACTGAATTCTTCTCTCGATTGGAAAAAATCTTACAGAAGAAATTGTATGTATGTATTTATGTGGTACCTATAAATCATTTACAAATTATCCAACTACTCTAAGACACACTAACAGAAGGCAGAGATTCTATGCTAAGATGTGTTTTTTTGGTTTAGCGTTTAACTTTCATTTTGCTTAAAGATTTTTGGGAAATTTTTTATCATTTTTTTTTTTATACGTTCCTCGTTCATAAGCGTTTTTACCACGAAATCTTAAAAAATATGAATATGAAATTTTGACGCTTCTAAAAGTTGTCAGTAGCACAGTATTATGTAATGCAAATGTAGCTCAGTACACACAGGCTGCGAATACGAAATGTGAATATGATGGCGCCGATAATTATCGATAGCTATTAAATATCGATTCAGTATCGATAGCTGTTACTTGAAATCCATTAATATTGAATATAAATAAATATCTATAAAACATCGACACATGCGGTGTACATAGATAAAAGCTTTGTTCCACACGCTTTCCGGGTTGCTTCGGAATTAGAGCGTAAAAATAAGTTACTCTCTTACAAGTGTCAAAAATGTGTGAACGCGTGCCAAAAGTGCCCAGAGCATGAGGAACGCAAGAAAACACATTTCGTGCCCGGAATCAACAAATCGGCTCTAAACAATGATTTTACGTGTATGTATCTTATATGGCTAATAAAATCAAATAACTAATTTTCTGAAAATTCTGTGGTATTTTCCATGTGTTTTATAAAATATGCTTTCGGATTTAAACACACATAAGTGTTTTTGATATCACTAATTACTGAGTAAGTAAATGTACCTACCTACTTATTTTCACTGAGTATAAAGTTATTAAATACGCATACGCAAGTACTTAGTTTTGGCTTCACTAAATACTTTATGCAATCCCGAGAAGCTCCAAAAATCTGAGAACCCCGAAATAGTGACGAAAATCAGGAAATAGTCCAAAAATCCAAAAACCGTCCCGAAAACTCGGAAGCAGTTCCGAAAAATCTCGAATTAGTCCCAAAAACGTATCGGACATTCCGAAAAACTCTTGAAAACCCCGCATTAGCCGCGAAAATCTTGAAGTAGTGCCAAAAATCTTTAAAATAACGAAAAAGTAACCAAAATAGCGAATTAGTCCCGAGCTTCTTGAAGTAGTACCGAAAATCCCAAAATAGTGTCGGGAATTCTGAAATAGTCACGAAAATGAGGAATTAGTCCGAAAATCCTGAAACAGTCCCGAAAATACCAAAATAGTTCCGCGAGTCCCGAAGTACTCTTGAAAATCCTGGAACCCCAGAAATGGCCCCGAAAATCTAGAAATAGACCCGAGAATCTTCTACCGAAAACCCCAAAACAGTCAAGAAAATTGCGAATCAATCCCGAAAACTCTTAAAAATACGACGCAAAAAAGTATAAGCCTAAAAAGAATACCCAAGTGCTAAGAGAATACCGAAAAGTAAAACACACAGACTCCCAAAAAAGATACTTTTTAGAATAATTTGGCCCTGGAAAACCTTTGCAGAAGAATTAAATATGAACAAAAGTGTGGGGAGCGTTCAGCTTGATACCAATTTTTAATTTTAGGTGCAAGAAAAGGGCATTAAGTCTTGCATTGACTTAAGTTTCATAATTTTGCAATTTTTCATTGCTTTTTTGATTAATCTAAATTTGCAAACATTTCAAATTAATGTAGCGCTATGAGAAAAATTTTGTTCTCGCTTCCATTTTTCGCGAATCGTTTAGAAAAGATTTGTTCGCGTTTCGTTCGCTGTCAGAACGTTCCTGAGACTTTATTTATCAAATTTTTCTTTGAGCGAAAATTCCTTAAGTTCTGAACACATTGAAAACGACGAGCTACCGACCACAGCTTCCAATTTGTCATCTTTATTATCTAAGCGCTTTGTCGATGGCGACATGATTTCTTTGAACGCGGCAGCGACATCATGAATTTGTATGAGTTTGACATAAAAGAAGAGGAAGAACCTTATCTGTCGCCAGAAAAATAGAAATAGATCTAATCTGGCCACAACCACAGCCGTCGCGTAGCCCGGTCGTCGCCAAAATAATTATCTACATAAGAGTACGTGTTAAAATAATTTGACAGCTGTGGTTTGTAGCTCGTCGTTTTCATTGTGTTCGGGCTATTAGACTTTGTTCCCGTTTTGCTACTTGCCAGAACCATCCGGAGACTTTTGTTCTCTTAAAAATGTTCCCGAAATTTTTGTTCTCATTTTATTCGCTTTGGGAACGTTCCCCAGCATTTTCTTCTTATATAATTCCCATTGAGAACTTTCTAAACAGTTTTGTTCTCACTTTTTTCTGTATGGAAAAACTCACGAAAGTTTGTTCCTATTGGTATTTGGGTTTCGATCATACCATTTGTTCTCGGTCTCTGGTTTAAATACAAGAATAGTAAATTTTTCTGAACCTGAGCTGGATTTGCAGAAAAGATTACTACGTACATGTAAAATTTGTTTTTAATCTTCTGTTTAGTTGCATAAATTGTCAACATCAAATTAAGTATATTCGCAATCTTAAATTCTTACAAACTCTTAAAAAAAAACATTCAAATTTTATTAAAAAAGTGACGCCTTAATTTGGAGAAAAAATTTTGTTCCAAGCAATCTTATTCGTTTTGAAAATAACTTTGCTATTTGTGTTAATTTTGCTTTATTTTAACTTTAGCTTCATGCTTTAGTAAACTACAATTTATATATACATACACCCCGTGCTATAATTATAAGCGTACCACATATTGACAAGTTTAAAGAAAAAAAATTTTTTTGTTATCTAATTTTTATATATTTTTTTTTTTAATAAACATTTAGTTTATTCCTTATTAAAAACCGTGTACATTCTAGTTTAAATATATGTAATATTAAAAAAATCAAAAAAATAACAAAGCGGCATACTCAAAATCTTAGAAAAAATTAAAAAGCTTGAATTTTTACGAAAGTTGGTGTTTTTTTATATAATATTGTACAAAGTCTGAAACTTGGATTTATGCGGGGTTGGTTAAAGAATAAACAATATTTTTATAAAAAACTAACCTATGCCAGCTTTCTTCGCGGCGCCAATGCAAAAGAGCGTTTAAAAGCAAAAATAGTCTGCAAAGTCAAAATTTTTGGTTTAAGTTGAAACCACTAAGGTGCGGTATCCTCCCTCCCACATGTTCCAATAATAGTAACGCTGTGATACCATATAGAATACCAATCCCTTTCGGTGCCATGAGCTTTACCAATGGTCTTATTTCCACCTGTGAGATCTCTGCCAAGCATGCGTAATCTTTTTCTATGATCTTGCAACTACAACATTGTTGCAATGCGTATGCCAATAAAAGTTCTTATAAGGAAACTCAAGAGCACAGAAGTGCGGTTTTTGTTATAGGAGGTCCAAGAATCCTCGCTGCCCCACAGGACATTGGCTAAATGAGTCGTGTGATCTCTTGAATATCTTTCGAATGAAGCAATTGATATACATACCTACGGTGATCTTTCCTTGTTAATTCGCCACTTTTACAATTCGTGGTGATATTTAGATTAGATTTAGATTTAGTAGATGCTAGCTATATGAGAAGTTCAGTTTGTATGGAAGGTGCCACGCTGCCTTTTCCAATGCATTTGCAATATATGCATCAGTGCTAAGTTTCAGTTCCCCAGAGTAATTGGTTTTAGAGATACATATATTGGTTTTTTACGTTATAGTCTGTATAAGAATTTTTGGAATATCCCGAGCTATATACCGAGTAAATTTTTGGTCGGAATATTTATTTTCAAGGTGGTAGCATATGTTCCAAATATGAACCAAATCGGTGCAGCTGCTTAGTAGTTTAGTGAAATACATTGAACAGAGAACTGTATGAAATGGTAAAGCGTGACGTCTCAGATTTCTTAATTTTTTGGCAGCACAACAAAAGGTTTTTAATTTTTTTTTAGCGAAAAAACTTCGATTCTCTACAAAGAAGGTCAATATACCAAATAATGTAGGACTAATACTTCAGAAGATTATTGCAATTCTATTAAAAAAATGTATTACTTAATTTATTTATTAATTTTTGATGGACTTGGGCGAGCCTAAGATATTGACCAAAAATGGTCATATTTCACACAGACTTTTTTTAGAGCATAGTGAACCATATTTTTGCTATTACCAATCAAAATTCTAAAAAAAAGCGGATTTTCGGCCCACGCTAATGTATAGATAACTAAAATTAAACAACAAAAAATAGTTTACTAAAACTCGTCAATATGTGGTGCGCTTATAATTACGACACGGGGTGTATTTGCTGTTTTGTATGTAAGCATGTGGTTTTTTTTATATAATTCTTTTTTTTTAGATTTATGTATATGTATAAGTAATAGCAACTAAGCTAAATGCTAGCACTGTAAGGACGAATTCTGCAAAAGGTCAACGTGTTCACGATTGATGTTTTTGTGTTTTGAAATTTGTTGTTTATGGGTTTGCGTTTTTTTTCTTATATATATATATATATATATATATGTATGTATATGTATTTTTAATATATCTTATAATTCTTTTTTAATTATTTTCGCTATATAGTCCTCAAGTATTATGTGTGTATGTTTTTAAATATGCAAGTATGTATGTATTTTTGTATATCTGTATGTAGTATGTATCGCTCAACACTATTTAAGTACTCTAACAATTAGTATAACTAAACTAATTTTTTTATACTTTTTTTTAATAACTAACTTATTTTTTCTTAGTTTTGGTTTAGCTATATGCCTGCGCAGTGGTATGCATGTATTTATGTAAAATGCGAGTTCTTGTCTTTAATGTCCATGTTTTTATTACTTTATCGCATATTTTTTACGAATATATAAATGTAATTCAATTGCATATGTGTGTGTTTGAATGTGTTTGGCGTAATGCCATAGCAGAGAGCGCTAGTTTTTTAGGCAGCTAACTGAGTAAAGTACATATAGAAATAGTTTTTTATATTTATTTTTTATACATACATATATTTTATATTTAATTTTTTTTTTGTTATTTAAACGTTTAATTCCTTCTTATTTTTGTGAATGCTTAAAATTTACAGTTAGCTTGCTATTTTGTTTAAACTTATGTAATTCTGAATTTTCTGTGTTCGAAATGCCGTGAGTATTTTTTTTTTCAACTCCATTTCACTTTTGCCAATTTGCTTCATCTAATGTATGCATTTTATTTATATGTATGCAATTTTATGTTAATGAACAGTTTGCTAATTCCATTTGCTAAATTTGTTGTTGTTGTTATTTTAATATAGTTAACAAACTGCAATTTACATTTGTTTATTTAACCACTTTTTAACTTTTTTATTTATTTTTTTATTAGTATTATTATTTTTTTTTTGGAAATACAGGTGTGAAGTTTCGCTTAAATTGCTAAAAGTGACTTGTAACTAAATATAATTTATAAGTACTTGTTTATATAAGTATTCATTTAAAGTTGTAAGTATTTATGTATGTATACGTTTTAGCCAGTTTAAGCCGCTCGCTTTAAATATAGATTGGATTCTCCTGGCCGGTAAGTAATCGGAACATTGATGTTGGCATAGTTTTCATTAGAATCTGTAAGAAAAGAATTTACAAAAGTATTTAATAGCTAGCCGGCTTCCTATGCGCGAGGCTTCGTCACGCTCAGAATGATATCATATATTTTTGTAAACAGACGGCAACTCTATTAAAAAACTGAAATCTTATTGCACATCTGGAGACCAAGTGCTTTCAGTTTACACCGCACTTTTTAGTCCAATGAACAGCCCACATCTTATATACATATATATGTATATTTATTTTGGTGGCAACCCTGCAAAGTTTTGTGTTATAAATGATCCTGGTATTATACCGAACAATAAAAAAAATATATTAAAACACAACATTTTTTATATGTATATGTACATTAGGGTGGTCCAAAACAGTAAAGTCGGAATTTTTATGCCGCCACTCCCTAGGACTGTTCTATACCGGAAAAAATATACCCCTGTTTTTTATTTTTAAATCACAAAATATTTTTATAGACTGCTCAGAGCGCTCAAAGTTTTCCATGTATTTTATATGGGGAAAAACAACTTTCGTAATTGTTAATTTAACTGTTTTTTGATACTAAGAAGTTTTTACTGGTCTCCCAATTGTGCATTTTCTGGGGTTTTGCCGGATCTATAAAATTTAGTCACCATGAAAAAACGGTTAAAAGAACAATTGGGTATAATTATTGGGAATCTGCTGAAGAGAAATGAAGTTTTTCGATCGAAAAATATTGATTTTTAAGAATTCAACACCATTTCTAAGAAAAGTTGTTTTCCCCACATAAAATATATGGACAACTTTGAGCGCTTTGAGAACCCCCTAATATTGTTTTTTTATTTCAAAATAAAAAATAGGGGTATAATTCTTTCAGTGTAGAATAATCCTAGGGGATGGCGGCACTAAAATTCCAACTTTACTTTTTCCACGTGCATTTTTGGATCACCCCAATTTACATACGTTTACATAATGAAAACATAAACTGGAAAAGATATCTTAAAAAAACCTTTTGTACTAATAATAATTTCTTTTGAACATTAAATGTTGTTTTAAAAAATATATTTAAGATATCCATGATTGTTTACAGCTAATCAATGACAACGATCTCAAACATGTTATTATATAAATATGTATTTGATTTCCGTAAATTTTTGTCAATAATGTCAGTAATAATGCGTCAAACGCATAAAAAATGCAAAAAAGTGTACTTCTTTTTCTATGAGTGTAGGTCCTGCTTTCTTTCCATAAAAAATTGTAAAGGAACTGCTTTCTCAATTTTAGCTATATATTGAATATTTATAATATTTTCGAGGTATTTGAAGAGGGTTGCCACCTGTTTTAAATGTTAAATTCAAATTTGGCATTTTAACGTCTGCGGGCAATAAAAAGAGAAGAAGTTTCACTTCAGATGTGCCTAGGATCCACACACAACTTTTGTTTTTTAAATATAGAAAAAAAATCATTTTGCTTACCTCGCCCACAGAAGTCGCTAGCAGATTGACGATCTTCTCATGTGGCACTGCGACCACACTTTGGTTATTGATTTCAATTATGCGATGCCCCACGCGCACACCGCCACGCTCAGCGATGCCACCACGTAGCAAACTGCAAATCTGTGAAAGTTAAAGGTGTAATTTGTAATAATTTTTCTATAAAAAAAAATGACCTAAGTTTCACATCTTATCTTTGAAGCTCACTCACCACACCATTTTGTACACTGAAACCGAGTTGGTACTTGGTATTGGGTCGTTTGATTTTAACCTCGACTACAGGTGCGCATGGCACTACTGTAAATTTGACTACCGTTTGATTTTTGGTATTCTTTATGTACGTTTGACACGTGGATAACGGTAGCCCCACCAAACTTAGCCCATTGATGGCAATCAACTGATCGCCAATATTCAATTGACCACAACGCGCCGCAGCACCGGACGACATAAGATTCGCAATGACCACAGTTGGCAGCATTGAACCCCAACCGCTTTCCACAATCACTACACCCAATATCTCGCCCTTTGCCTTAGGAACGACCACTTCCTTCTGCAGCTCCTTTTTGGCGAAAATTTCCAGTTCATCGCCGAAAATCTCCTGACTGTTGAGCACTTCTTGATAGTCCATTTCCTTGACAAAACTATGATCCTCAATTCCATTTGCTTTAAGGAACTCCATGTAGGCCACCTGGAAGGCCTGTCCAATTGATTGTGCTATGAATTGCGCTTCATCACTCTCGAAGACATGACAGATCATTTTGGGTGTGCGATTCGGCTTGGGCGCATCATCAATGTCCTGCGGCACGAAGCGGCGGCGTGCCATCAACACAACCAAATCGCCAATGTCTGCGATGTAGGAGATGGTGCGCAGCGCATGGTCCATCATGATTTCCTTGAGGTCTGTGTTGAGTACCATTATTTTTTCGGTTGATATGAAGAGGTCCACCTCGGTGCTAGGTTGTACATCGCCATCGGGTGCCTAGAAGGTGGAGGGAAAGGAAAGTAGATAATCGCTCTCAAATGCAGGTTGTACTAAATTGATACGATAAATGCGAGCAATACATTCAACGGCTTTGTTTTTGATAAGCAAGTGACAGCATGACGTATGAGTCGAATACTTACCAAAGCCTTGTGATGGTCCAGCACAGTTAAGAATGCACATGAAAATACAAAGCATATTCAATGTTAAGAATTAAATACATAACTAATTTATTCAAATCAACTCGGAAATGATTATTATCTAGAGAGATATGAAAAGGAGTATAAAGTCAAAAAAAAAAAATGTTTTCCAAAAAAATAAATATTCAAGGAAGCAGTTTATTATACAAAATTATAAAAGATCAACTTTTTCCTTAACATGAAATCTGCCTTTGATGGGCACGTGATGCACCGATATGTTACTAACACGTGCCTTTAAAACTAGTAAAATTAACAAGGGAAATATGATAGAAATTGGAAAAGTCTATTTTATATTTTTTAACAGATATCTTAGAATGATTCTCTGAAGAAGATGGCAGATTGCAAAGAAGGCTTTGGAATGGAGCCCCTTAATCGATATAGGCCGGGTTCCCGGCAAACCACGTGAAACTCGGGTTAAGCTGGAAGGAGCTCAAAGCTATTGCCAGAAACAGAAACAGATGGCGTGCAGATGAAGTAGATGTTCTATGTCCCGCTTAGGATCAAAGAAAACGAAGAAGATGATTTTTGGGGCTTGAAGGGCTAACAACGCCATTGCTTTCTTCAGCAGACATATGGTTCCAAAGCTCTCTCACTCGCAAACTCATCCCAAATGTAGAGATGTCCTTCTCCATTTGGTACCAAGGATACCGAATAGAAGAATCATTTTCACTGCGCCACTATCATCGAAAGCATTGGTTGTTAATGCATGAACTACGTCCATGTCATTGTAAAGATCGGCATTATTTTATCTTCTTCTGTAACCGTCAGCCACACGAACAGGACCATATATATTGCGGGGAATTGTTCTCTTGGGGACCCTGTTTTTCAATTGCCTACCGAGTTCAAAGTAGCACCTGTTGCCAAGAGTTATCTTAACCCTCGTCTGGTTTTCAATAGCTTCAAAGAGATCCTTCTCAATTTGAACAGAGCTAAAAATTGAGTCGAACGTCAGTCTACATAACTGTATAAGTTTTTCGGGATCGTATGTATATTTCGACTTGAAGGCATATACGCAGCTTTTTGGGTACCCCAAAAGTGGATTTAAAATCAAAAATTGCACTTTTCCAGTATGAGAGCCTGGTCGATGGTTGATGAAGGCATTCAGCCTTGTCAACAGAGTCTTCGATAGGACTATATGTACAAGCAATGCTGAGAACGTTTATCCCGTGGTGATTGGCGCAAAGAACAAAATCTCCTTACTTGTGAATTGGATCAGGTACACTGGAAAATTCGATAAACCAGCGCTTCGCCGTTAGATGTTAACCGCCATAGTCTGTCGCATCTAAGAGCTTTGTTGTTTTTAAGCCTCATGCTTTATTCTTTTCTATACGCGGTCCCAGTATCGCCTTGTGTTTCTCGGATGGAGCGCAAACGCGGATGCCGGGCAATTGACTACGCAGTCGATGTTGCACCTATGGGTAAAGGTAAACACCTCGGTACGCTTTATGTACTTACCCAACGGTATCTTAACATGGTACCAAGTGGGCGTTCAAAAGTGGCCCCGCCGTCAATCCCAGTAAGACAGAACTGGTCTTATTCACTAGAAAATATAAAATTCCTGACGTTGTTCCTCCCGCTGTTGGACCTCAGCGCTTTCAGCTATCTGAAAGGGTCAATTACTAGGGCTTGATCGTTGACAGGAAGTTGTGGCGGAGCCCAAACATCGCGGAGCCGGCAAGAAAGATATCAGTGGGCTTCTGCTGCTGAAGGGGAGCTATTGTAAAGAGAAGGTAAATTAGGCCCAAAATTGTCTTTTGGCTCTACGAAACCGTAGTCTATTATGTTTTATGGCACTCCAGTATAGTGGAACGTGCTTGAAAAGGCTACACTAGCTAAGTAGCTGGAGCTCGTGCAACGGGCTGCTTTAATTAGTATTAGTGGGGCACTGCGGACTACCCCATCATTGGCACTTAACGCAAATATAAACTCTTGATACTGCACGCGAAACTTCCACAGCGCGATCAGATATTAGACTCAGGAACCCGAATGGTTGACCGACTTAAGGACTGGACATTCTGGAATTATAGTGACTTCGATTCCATCCCTGATCTCACGGATTACTCCGTCACCGAGATCGCTCCTAAGAGTTTCTTCTCTGCCCATTTTCCATCTAGGAAGGATTGGGCCGGAGAGGGGGAGCAGTGACCTTCTTCACGGATGGATCGAAACTCGTCGGCAGGGTTGGTAGATGAGCCTTCTGTCGAGAGGTTTACGGACTGCTGCAGTGTATTTCAGGTGGAAGTGGCTTCTATTAAAGAGGCGGTGTAGTCACGGGAGTCATGAGTGCGATGACAGTTAGGAAGGTGAGAACTAATTCTGATAGACAAGCGACCTTCGGGCCACTGGTCAATTGGCTGAACGTATTACCTGATCCCGTATATCGCAGTAGCCTAGACGAGCCAGATGACGTGCAGGAATCACCTCAACACTACCTTCTTAGGTGCCCAGTATTTGCCCGGCTAAGGCTGAATTACTTTCGCTCTCAAATCCTTAATAGCCCCGAGGAGCTCTGGGGCATTGAGATTTCGCAAATGTTTCGATGCTGGTGTTCGGTACTTGTAACTACTATGTACCGTGTCGCCCACTGTCAAAGATGTTTCCAAAAGTGTGATAAAAGGACTACGGGAATGAACTACCCTTGCCATTGAATCTTATAAAACCATTACCTGGTGCTTCGAGAAAAAAGATGATTAAATTAAGGGTCGAATTTGGATGGAAAAGTTACCATTTAGTTTTCTTCGCAAATTTAACTTCCCTCACTTAATTCTCATCCTTTTACGAGAGTACAACCTTTTAAAAATAACTATATGGGCTTTTTTGGCCATTGATTTAATTATTATTAGGAGATCCGTTGGATTCATCACTCGGAATTCAAATAATTTTTTCATAATCGAAATAATTGTGTTTTTTATGAGAACAGCAATTTTAGCCATGGAATGAAGTTCTAAATTTGAGTTTTTTATGCCAATGTTTAAACACAGTAACTCATAGATTAACTTTTAAAAATATTTCAAAGGTATAAAATAAATTTTTCACATGCAGGTAAAATATGTATAAATGAATTGCGGGGTTTTAGCCAATAAACACTACCAAAAACTAAAATTAAAGTAAACAAAAAAATTATCATTGTTTTCTAGCTTCTACAATTCCTCATTGCGTCTTACCTTTATGCGTGAGACCGCCTCTTCGGCTTGCATCATGCGCGTCGATTTCGTAGGTTGACCCTCACAAACCAGCTGTGTGGAACCCAGATATTTGGCGCGAAAGAGTACACCCTCAATAAGCACTGCGCCACCTATTTATCGAGTGTGCGGTTGTGTGTGTGTGAGGGCATGTGGTTGTGTATTGTTAAGTGTATAGATTTTTAATTCAGGAAAGCGGGGGTAAAGTATGTAAATAAAAGAGCAATCAGTTAGTAGGAAATCTCACTGTCTGCTAAAAATGTTTTCAATACATACAGCATAACAAATTTCTATTATAAAGCAATTACTAAGCGTCCGTGGCTTATGGTGTGAACGCGAGTGAAAAATTGAATTAAAAATGTTAGGCAAATCTTTTTAAGCATTCTATGCTACGTTTTTCATTGATGAAATTATCTAAACTGATTTATGAATCAAAACATAAGCATATGTATATATTTAAATTCACTAGAATCTAGATGATCTACGAATTTTGTCTTTATTCTTTGTGTCCGATATTGTTCGAGGAGCTGTGGATTGCACCTCACACTTCGGCTAGAGCCCTTCATAATTTCGATTTTTTTTATATCAGCTTCCTAGGAACACATTCTCTAGAGCCCTAGATCATATTCAGGGACTTTTTTTAAATTTAACTACATTAAAGCTATCTCGATTGTATAAATTAATATTGTGTTTATTAAGAATAATAACGCGTTTATCGAAAATTCCTCAAGCTGAAAGAAGCATATTTTTGTGGCCTTCCCTGGCAAATGCCTTGGGAGGATTACACTGATTGGGGAACACGTTTTTATATAGGCAGAGTAGTGATAGCAAACAGGGACGAGAAACAACAGGACACTTTGAAAGAGGCATACCTATGGTTGCGAGCCCATGTTCGTAATATCGCCAACTTAATACAGAAAGCACTTTGTGATGACGTATCAAGACGGTCGGTATGCTGTGGAATAAATCGACGCCGGTAACTCTACAGGAGCTGAACGTTTTCCGCCTAAGTCTGACGAACATATTTACATTTTTAAGTTATGGTCTGATTATGGCAACTTAACGTAACTTACGGCTCTCTCTTAAAAATTCTGTTAAATGGGTGTTGCTTATAATTGAACAGCCGAAACTTTACGTAACTTAATGCCACGTCGAAATCTGTTTCATTTTGATTCTCTAAGTTCTACGTTCCGTTAAGTTAAGTTAAGTTGCCATAATCAGGCTTTTACTCTGGATAAAAATCTAAGCTGTAAAAAGAACATAGCTCAGCGTTATGGGAAGGTATCTATAGTTCTGTACTTTGTGGAAAATAGCCTTAGGAAAAACTGGTATTCAAATTATTCTCCTATATGTCGCTATTGCCCTAGATAAAGTGACCGGTCTTAAAGTACTTAGCAAAGTACAACGGCCGCTGTGGTGTAGTGGTAAGCAGTGCGCGCTTCCTCTTCGCAGCACCGGGTCACTATGTAACAAGGTTTTTGTCCCTGGGTTGTAATTGTTATTTCCTAGTCAGTTAGGTCCCAAAAGTATAGAAAACAGCTATTGTCGCAAGATAACTTTGCTTTTGTGACCAGCCGGTATCTTCGTTGGACCACAAATAAAGAAAATCTTCGAGTCTGAGGAATTCCCCAAGAAGCTCACTCGTGTTGAGAAAGCTGCTTGGATGAGTTTTATGTCAGTGGTACAGTAATTCCTAGGCAATCACAAAGCCGCAAACTACGTGGAGCTGGTCGAAAGTCTGGTGGAGAACTACGGCAAAATGGGCTGCAGGATGTCTCTCAAACTCCATATTCAGGATGCACATCTTGACAAGTTCAAGGAGAACATGGGAGCATATTCAGAGGAGCAAGGCGAGCGCTTCCATCAGGATATAATGGAATTTGAGCGGCGATACCAAGGACAATACAATGAGAACATGATGGGAGATTACATTTGGGGATTGATTAGAGAAAGTGACTCGCAGTTTAAACGCAAATGTCGAAAAACCACCCGCTTCTGATTTACTTTTATGTTTTTGGTTTTCTGAAGTTTTAATAAAATTTAGTTTTGATTTATATGTGCTGTTCTGTATGATTTTCTCTGTAGTGAAAGACTCAAACACGTTTTTCTCATAATTTTAGCATATTTTAATGAATCACATTGTCCTGGTCATAAAAGCAAAGTTTCCGAGGAATATTAGGTGGTTTCCATACTTTTAAGGCATAACAGACTAGGAAATAACAATTACATCCCAAGGACTGAGACATTTTTTTTTTTTGTTACTTAGTGTTATGATCTGCATCAGTGCAGCAAATCCAAACAACACCAAATTACGCCACAAACGTCTCTTTGGATTTCCTGCGACTGGATCGCTCATTTAAGAGAGATTTCTCAATGGGAGTCGAGATACATGGGACGCTATTTTATTTTGAGTAAATTTGCCGGGAAGCACGGATTTGTACATAATATAATATATTATATTTGAAACTTTGATTCCGGCTAGAAATTTCTATATGTAGACCTCAACCAGGGATTAGAAGGTTGAAAGCTACTATACTGATACGATTGAAATTACATATCACAAATGTTTCGAAGCTCAATGGCAAAGCGGGAGAAAGATATTATTTCGTTTACCAGACTACTGTAGTGTTCTTCAGTCTGAGGTTTCATATGAATCTTCTTCTTCTTATTTGGCGCTGTAACCGCCTCAGCGATTTTGGCCGAGTCCAAAACAGCACGCCAGTCATTTCTCTTCTGTGCTAACTGACGCCAATTGAAAATGCCAAGTGAAGCCAAGTCCTTCTCCACCTGGTCTTTCCAACGCAGAGGAGGCCTTCCTCTTCCTCTGTTCCCAGCATCGCGGCCCGCGTTGAATATTTTCAGAGCAGGAGCGTTTCTGTCCATCCGAACGACATGGCCAAGCCAGCGGAGCCGCTGAATTTTAATTCGCTGCACTATGTCTACATCGTTGTAAAGCTCATACAGCTCATCGTTAAATCGTCTGCGATATTCGCCATCACCAACGCGTAAAGGTCCGTAAATCTTTCGCAGAATCTTTCTCTCGAAAACTCCAAGAGCCGCCTCATCAGATGCTTTCATTGTCCATGCTTCCGCACCATACACCAGCACAGGCACGATGAGTGACTTATAGAGTGTGATCTTTGTACGACGAGAGAGGACTTTACTTCTCAATTGCCTACTCAGCCCAAAGTAGCACTTGTTGGCAAGAGTGATTCTCCGTTGGATTTCAAGGCTGACATTATTATTGGTGTTAATGCTGGTTCCCAAATAAACGAAGTCGTCTACTTTTTCAAACTTGTAACTGTCAACAGTGACGTGGGTGCCAAGACGCGTATGCTCTGACTGTTTGTGTGCTGACAGGAGATACTTCGTTTTGTCCTCGTTCACCACCAGACCCATTCGCTTTGCTTCTCTATCCAATCCCGAGAAGGCAGAACAGACGTAGCCCTTGTTTTTACCGATAATATCGATGTCGTCGGCATACGCCAGCAATTGTACGCTCTTATAAAGTATTGTGCCTGAGCGGTTCAGTTCTGCGGCTCTTATTATCTTCTCCAACATAAGATTAAAGAAATCACACGAAAGGGGGTCCCCTTGTCTGAAACCTCGTTTGGTATCAAACGGCTCGGAGAGGTCCTTCCCTATTCTGACGGAGCTGGTGGTATTGCTCAACGTCATTTTACACAGCCGTATTAGTTTCGCGGGGATACCAAATTCAGACATCGCGGCATAAAGGCAACTTCTCTTCGTGCTGTCGAAAGCGGCTTTGAAATCGACAAATAGATGGTGTGTGTCGATCCTATTCTCGCGGGTCTTTTCCAAGATTTGGCGTATTGTGAATACCTGATCTATGGTGGATTTTCCAGGCCTAAAGCCACACTGATAAGGTCCAATCAGCTCGTTGAGGGTGGGCTTCAGTCTTTCGCACAATACGCTCGATAAGACCTTGTAACCTATGCTTAGAAGGCTAATTCCGCGGTAGTTGGCGCGTATGGCGGGGTCGCCTTTCTTGTGGATTGGGCAGAGCACACTTAAATTCCAGTCGTCGGGCATGCGTTCATCTGACCATATTCTGCATACGAGCTGATGCATGCACCTCATCAGCTCCTCGCCGCCGTACTTGAATAGCTCGGCTGGCAGGCCGTCAGCTCCAGCAGCTTTGTTGTTTTTCAGCCGCGTAATCGCTATTCGTACCTCGTCATAGTCAGGCGGTGGGACAGCTAATCCATCCTCATCGACTGGGGACTCGGGTTCGTCTTCCTCACTACTTTCAGCGCTGCTACCATTCAGTAGGTTATAAAAGTGTTCCCTCCACAATTTAAGTATATTCTGGACATCGGTCACTAGGTCGCCATTGTTGTTCTTACAGGAGTTCGCCCCGGTCTTGAAACCTTCCGTAAGTCGCCTAACCCTCTGGTAGAATTTTCGGGCATTCTTCCTGTCGGCCAGCATCTCAAGCTCTTCGCACTCACGTATTTCGGCCTCTCTCTTCTTATTGCGGCAAATACGTCTCGCTTCCTTCTTCAGTTCCCTATAACGGTCCCACATGGCTCGCGTTGCGCCCGATCGCAGCGTGGCCCTGTAGGCGGCATCTTTTTTCTCTGCGGCTTCTTGACATTCCTCATCGTACCAGTTGTTCTTTCGGGCTCGCTGAAATCCAACTACTTCTTCGGCGGCGGTACTTAATGATCGGGAAATGTGGTTCCACTGCTCGCGTACGTCGGATTGTTGAAGAGTGCTCTCAGAGAGCAGGTGTGTGAGTCGAGTGGCGAATAGATTGGCCGTCTGTTGTGATTGCAGCTTTTCGACGTTAAGCTTTCCTTGCATTGTTGGGCGCACATTTTTTGCTGCACAGAGGCGGGTGCGTATCTTGGCTACAACAAGATAGTGGTCCGAGTCGAAAAAAAAAAAAAAAAAAAAAAAAAAAGTTTCATATGAATGCTATACGTAATATTCCAGCGACAGCCAAGCTGCAAATAGAGCTATGAGCTCAGTCACGATTAACTCGAAAAGTGAGCTGTGACTGTCGCCAATATCTACATAAGGGCAGTTCTGTCTTTCAGCTCATCACTATCTTTCGTAACACAATTGTCAATTCTTTCAACTATCTTGAAAGCTCTTTACTGGCTTTCGAAAGACTAATTGAAAGGACTGCTAACGAGGAGGTCCTAACGTTATTCTTTTTATATTTGAACAATAAGTTTTTTAAAAATTAGATAAAATTTAAAAATTATATATTTTTCCATTTCAAAACAATAACAAAATAAAACATAGAGAAAAACCGAATTAAAAAAGAAAATATATACAAAAAGTATTGAAAATTAAAAGAAATTATAACACATATTATTTTAATTTATTTATTTAAATTAAAAAACTACATAAAAGAAAAAAAAATTATTTTCAAAACAAAATCTAAAAGAAATTAAATTAGACAAAAGCTAAATAAAGTACATAAAAATTCAATAAAACTAAAACAAGTATTTTTCTGTTTAAAACAATAAAATCTAAAAATAAAAAGATATTTATATTAAAATAAAAGAGGAAAAATGAATGAAAACACAAAAAAATGCAACTCTAAAAATTGGAAGAAAATTATGTATATTAAGAAAAGAGAAAAAACTAAAAAAAACGCTTCCCTAAAAATTAAATTAACTTAAAAACCAATTCTATTATCGTTGAAAACAATAACATCTAAAAATGAAATTAAAAAAGTAATAAAGAGAATTAAATTAAAAAAAGAAAAGAATTAAATTAGGGACCAGTAATTTTAATTATCGAAATCGGTTCACGACCAAGGTTATAATAGCCTCCAACTTTTTTTGAAGTGGGTTAAAAAAAATCCGCTTTCGCGTTCTAGCATAAGAGCTGTTCACCACGAGTGGTGAATGAGAGGGCTTTTTTCAAAGCCTTTTGTGCTAGAGTAACAAAAGTGGATGGAATTGGCTAAATCGACTCAGTTCGACGTTCTGAACATTTTGGCAAACATTTATGTGGGTCTATATCGTCTTCTTCTGGTACTTGCAAACATCGGACGAAATTTATATTACCATTTCATGTTGATGAAAGGTATATAAAATTATGGAAAAATAGTACGTTCGCGACCCGTAAATTCGCGACCGGTACTTAAGCTTATAAATAGAAAACTACTAGAGATATTTCAACGCGAAATTAGTTAGGAGGAAGATACTTTATTCCACTTTAATATAAAATTAATCGCTTTAGATTCTAAAGTTTATAATATTCTGTTCCATATCGAAGTTTCTTGCATTTTTCAACTTGCAGCCAAAAGCGACTTCCATTATTCGTTCGTTCACGACCGCATGTTTATTGCTAACATATTGAAAAATAAAAATCGAAATAATATCCTTTTGCACGAAAGATATACCTAACAAAATGCTATCGAAACATAAAAAGAAATTAATAAAAATTTAGGTTTTCCTTGTTTTTTGAACCTCAAAAGCGTACGAACGTACGGTTCGCGACCATTGGAAATGCCCATATCCGTTCATTTGTTAACCGGATATCCGGTTATTATTCGTTTATTTTGCTTACCAGATATTCGGATATTCGACTTTTTTAGTCACATAAAGATCTCTACACATTCAGGTTCTATCTATTCGTATTTTTAGTTAATGTTAAGAATTACTCTTCTTATAACATTTCGAAATGTTCTACAACTCGACTGCATTTCTTTTTCACTCCCTCACAAATTCGTCTGTGCCACGGACACTACACTAAAAATAATATTATTTAATTGAAAAAACATTTAGAAATATTATCTTACAAAGTATGCGGCGGTTTGAAAGCAGTTTTACATAATTTTTTTATGTTCGTCAAAAAACGAAACGTAACGGAACGCATGCAAAAATAAGAGTTATCACAGATTAGCAGAATGTTGAAAATATATCAGTTGTACTAGAAAATTGTAATAGTTAGAAAAACGTCGATCGATGTTGTAGAAATTAAAAAATAACAACTGCAAATGGGCGCAACACACACAGACACGCACAAACGTATACAACAACCAAAAATTCGTTGCTGTCACGAACACTACAAATGAACTTCGAAACTACAAAAATATATTCGAAAAACACAAGTTCGTACAACTAAATTTGGAAAAGACACTACAACAATTTTATTGATGCAATTTTGAAAATTATCAGCAAACTCTACACGAATTCATTTGTAGTATTCTGCGGCTTTGCTTTTCGGCGAGTTTTCTCTCTCTACATACTACAAATGTGTGTACTAACTCGCCGCAATGTCGCCGCTGTACGCCCATTTACAAAAATGCTATTCTAATAGGAACAACAACAACGTTGACTAAAATTGTTGAAACGACACTACTTGCGCGAAGATAAACCCAATACATTTACCTTCTTTGTTCTTACTCTTTTTGACTTTTTTCTCGCCGCTAGTGCTGTTGGAGCCAGCGGAGCTGCTGTGACCACCACCGCCACCACCAACACCGCTGCCATTGCCACTACCACCGCCACCAACACTGCCATTCGCATTGCCAGTGCCAACAAGGCCAACACCACCACTACCACCTCCACTACAGTTACCGCTGCCACTGCCACTATTGCTGCCGCCGCTATTCGGCAGACCGTTTGAGTTGATCGTCGAGAGATCGAGCTCTTTCTTCGAGTTACCGCTGATGCAAGCGGAGCCATCCGAGCCACCCGGGCTGCCCATTGTGACTACGCAGTCTTGTGCATCGATCGACTTGATTGGCGACTTGTCGCTGTGCTCGGATGATGATATGGAACCGTCAATGTCGAGCAGTTTGCTAGTCGAGTTCTTCGGTGGTATCGGCGGTGGGATTTCGGGTGTGGTCGTGAGCAAAGCATTATAGCCATTGCGTGTTTTAGTGCTCGCCATTTGCTGCTTGGGCGAGATTTTCGAAAGTAGCGAGGAGCGCGGCTTACGTGACTCCCACGATTTGTTTTCATCATAGTAACCCTGATCGTCTAGCCGTTGATGGCCGAGCAGTCGATCTGTTTCGAGATCAGTGTCGACATCATCTTCGTCTGCGCTCAGATTCTTCGAGTGATGTCCAGGCGAGGAAGCGAGTAGACTTTTTTTTGCGCTATTATCCAGATTACGGGGCAGCCAAACAGGCGAATTCATCACAGGCGAAGGTGTGCGCGGTATGCTGCGCTCGGGTATTGGAGGCGGTGGTGGCTGCAATTGCGAGTGGGTCTGCGTTGCTGGCAATGACTGGGTTGACTGTGGCTGCGGTGGCGGCTGTGACTGAGCGTGCGATTGGTTGGTGCGTTGTGCGGTGCTGAGGCCAACGCCACTCTGATGCTGTGTGTGTAATTTGCTGCGATTCAGCGTTGAGCTGATAGCCGAAGCCACAGATGTGACACCACTGTTGGAGTTGATACCGACTGTCGGAACGAGTGCACTACTGATGGGCGATGTGGCGCTGGGTGGTGGTGGTGCAGAGTGTAGGTTGTCCTTGTAGGGAGTGGGTTGCAAGATCTCCGGTTCAGGGCTTAGTATATTCGGCTTGCGATGCGGGGCTGGTGCAGGCGGTGGTGGCGTCATCTGCACCATATCGGGGCGATGGAAAATGCCTGTAACGTGATGTTGAAGTGAGATGCTTATTTGCAAAGAATTAAAATACATAAAATGTATAGTTATTAGACATACTTATCGAGTAAAGCGAATCCAGTTCGGGATCAATATTCTTGAATACTTTATTGTTGCTGTTATTTGTTGGACTCTGTCCCAGCAGCTCGCGTTCACCAACGCGTCCATCACGCTTCGTGGCCGAACGCACCGATTCACGCCCAGAATCTTCGTGCAAACCAGGTGTTGGCGTGGGACTATCGTCTCTATGTAAGTACATTGTATCATGAACAATATTTGACGATATCGAGTTGTTTCTTGGCTCCCCGCCAACACCACCTACACCACCATCGGTCGTTGAGATCGTCAGATTGTTCATGCTATTGATGCTGTTGTTGGTGGACAAGCGTTTCGTGTCCATCAACATCGAAATGCCACCACTACCGACGAGATTGTGGGATGTCGCGGCGCTCGGCTGTTGCATGTTGCTATTCAGATTATTTTGGTTGTTGTTCTCCGTGTCGGAGGTGTGTCCGGAGGAGAGACCATCCTCAAGTACAGGCATGCTGGAGGCATAGTACTTTGTGTAGTTCGAACATGATGTTGAGACACCGTTTATTTCACCAGAGAGACCTGTTTGAAGAAGTAAAGGGAGGTTTATTTTTTTGAGTTGAGTTGACAAAGGGTCGTTTACGGTTTTGAGGATCTACAAGTATTTTAACATGGGGTGATCGGAAAGGTTTATGTCTTAGATTTTGAAAGACAAAAGTCTTTTGTAAGACATTTGTAAATACTGGCAACTACCTTGAAAGCTCTTTTCTGTCTTTCGACAGACTAAATAATTGAAGGATATTCTGTTTGTCACGCATTTTTTCCAGTGACCTTTGGACTTCAGCATCTGCGCAAAATTTTAAGTTGCTACGCCCATTACTTTGGGCGCTATGAAATCCCAACCTTTATATGGAACTTGAATTTTTTTTCGAAACAACAATTTTTTTTTCATGAAGATGAGGATAATGATTTTCTTAATGCTATTTCGTTCACAGTTGTATCATGTTTGCCATAATTATTAAGAAAATTTTTTTGAGCCAAATCAAAAGAAAATTTAGTTAAAAAATAAAAAATAAGTTTCTAAAAATTAAATGAAATCAGAAAACATAAAGTTTTTTCTTTCTAAAACAATAAAATGAAAAAATTAAAAGAAAATTAATTAAAAAAAAAGAAAAAAATATTTAAAAAAGGAAGATATAGATAGAATAATATTGTAATTAGACCAAATTAAAAAAAAATATATTCATCGTAGGACAATCAAATTTTTAAGAAAATGAAATAAAAACATAAATAAAAGTAAAAAATATGGTTATAAATATTAAATTAAACTAAACAAATAAATAAATAAAGTTAAAAAATTTAATAAAAAAGCAAAAAATAAGTTTCTTTAAAGTAAACGAAGTTAAAAAAATACATATTTTTCTTTCCAAAACAATAAAAACTAATAATAAAAAAAAAAAATACATAATAAAGTAATATTCAAAAATTAAATGAAATTAAAAAAAGGTATCTTTGTGAAACAATAAAGTTAAAAAATGTATAGAAAAGAAGTTAAAAAAATAGGTTCCTAAAACTTTAATTAAATACAAATTTTTTATTTTTTAAACAATAAATTTTAGAAATTAAAAGAGAATTAAGACGAACGAGTCGTTCCCACGACAGTAGGTTCTACGTAACCGGAACGACCTAGATTTATGTATATCTGGACAAGGACTGTCACTCCAGCAACACTCCCGAAAATATATTAGGGGAATTTGTATGCTGTTGCCAGAATAAGCAAAATCTTTCAAAATATCTTGTCTACTGTTTTCTAATTGTCTTACAAAAGTCTAAATCAGAATTGCCCTGAAAGTCTACGCAATCCCTTTAGTTTGATATTTGTTTGTACATATTTAATTGGCATATCTAATTGTTTTTTTTCGGATAGTTGGCACCCTTTTTTAAACGAATATTTTTAGTCTAAACTTTTTTGATGTGAAATATTTAAAATTTATATTTTTAGAGAGCTGTCAACCCTCTCTGAAATCATGCTTATATTAAAGTTTCCTTAAAATTGCTAGCTTCTCTGTCTACGCATTTCTTTTGAAATATCTAAAAATTTGTAAATGTATGTAATTAATTTTATTTTCATTGACAAACACCTTGAAACTTTAAACTAATTAAGAGTCATTGATTTAAAATACAAAAGGTTAATATTGTATTTAGCTAACATATGTATTTCAATAACTTTCGTTTCTAAAAAGAGGCAACTCTATTCGAAAATCCTTAAGAATGCAAGTGTCTTTAAACACATATCCTTTGTTATGTATTTATTTATCTATAGGCGCACTTTAATAATTTATTTAGATTTTACTTGTGATTAATTGAACTTTTTCAGACGGTAACCCTGCTTAAAAATAGTTTAGTGTCAAAGCGAACTTCTTCGTATACATACACAAATACTTGCTGTCCAAATTTTTATTTTTAGAAAGCTGGCAACCCTCTCTGAAATCATGCTTATAATAAAGTTTCCTCAAAATTCCTTATCTCGATGTCTACGCTGTTTTTTTTTTAATATTTAAAAACAAATTTAAATATTTAATTCATTTTATTTTCAAACATATGGGAACCCTATTTGAAAACTCTCTGTAATAAATGCTTCTTTGCTTGAGAAACACATAGAAACTTTTAACAAATTAAGAGTAAATTTCTTAAATTTGCTTGATATGCATGTGGCAACTCTATTTTCAATAAGCTTTTGGTTACTTAAACTTTCCCAACATCCATTGGCTTCAAACACATAAGTTTAATATTTAATTAAACTTAGTATATTTAGTTAATTATGGTTTTGAAAAAGGTGGCAATGCCTTTTTAAATGTAAATATTTACTTGTGTTGTAACATTGCACGAACCTATGTACATATGTATATACATTTCCAACAAATTAAATTTGGTAACGCTAATGAGTAATTTTTATGTATTTGAACATTGTATGTGGATACTCTTTCGACAAATATAAACAAACACAGAATACTTACTATCCAAATCTCCACAATTCGAATCGTAGTCTGTTGTCTCGGGTGAATAACGGTAAGTGCTCGGCGTTTCTAACTGATTGTGATTGACACCATCTTGTTGATCCAATTGCTCGCCGCTACTACGACTAGCCGAGTCCAGGAAGAAATCAAAGTCACGCATCAATGGACTGGCGGTAAAGCGTCGCCGATGTGCATGCACCGAATTATTGTAAACATTGCTATTGCTATTGCTATTGCTGTTATTGCTGCTGGTGATGTTGCTGTTGTTGGTAGTTTGTTGTTGCTGCCGATGATGAAGACGTGCGCGATGATTATTTGTTGTTGTTGTTGTTGTTGTTGTTCTCTGCGTTTCTTCTTGTTGGGTTTGTAATTGTTGTAATGGTTGCTGTTGCAGGTATTGCGTATGTTGTTTTTCCTGTTGTTGTTGTTGTTGTTGTTGCTGTTGCTGTTGCGCCTGAAGACGATATGTCGCTGTTGGTGTTGGTGATGTTTGCAAATGTGACTGCGTATCGCGCGGATTGTTGCGTTGTTGCAATGTTGTTTGCAGCTGTCGCATTTGGTTGTTATGTTGTTGCTGTAGCTGGTGATGGTGGTGATGGTTTTGCTGTGGATGTATGTCATCCATATCCACACCCATTAGTCCATCATCATCGTCGTCGTCATCATCTTCTTCTTCATCGTCTTCGTCTTCGGCGTCTACATTTAAATTTGAGTGCGAGTCTAACTCATCATCGTCACCGCGATCCAAATTGCTATGGAATTCGTATTGAATGTCCTGTAAATGAAAATAGAGTGGAATTTGCGTTGAACAAGGAGGTGTGCCATACAAAATTGACATTTTTAAGGACCGCCCTAATATATACATAAATATGTTCCTAGTACATTTACAAGAAGGCGAAAAACATTTTTTTTCAACTTACGATACTATCAACGTCGCTTCCATTCTCAATCGGTCGATCGTCTATCGAGGGACACTTGAAGAACTCTTCGAGCACTTTGCGCGTCTCGGAGAATTCATAGAGGTAGTCGAACGTCGAAGACTTTGTTGGTATGCTAAAGGCGTTGCTGCTAATTGTCGTCACAGGCTTGCACGCTGCCATTGCGCTTGTACTTGGTGGCGGCATGGCTGCGGAATTCGCCACATTAAGCGCCGGTGAATCGGTGGTGCAGGTGAGCGTTGTTGGCACACCCGTTGCAGATATAGCTTCCGGTGTGGTCAAGTCGGATATTGTGCCAATCTCAGAGACATCATTGCTCGTATCCTCGGCGTTATTGTCCAAAGTGCAAGCTGTTGGCGGCGAGGATTGCCGCTGTTGTAACGCTTGTGGTTGCTGCTGGTATTGATAATCCGGCAGCTGCTGTTGTTGGTGTTTAGAATTATTATGACTTAGCAGCATAATTGGTGGAGTACTCTCGCGTGGCGGTGAAATAATGCGCTGCAAATGGAAAATCGGCCATGAGAGGGTATTATAAACTTCAGAAGAGAGCTCATGAAGCGTTCATTTACCTGCGGAAAGCCGGGACGCGCCGGATATTGTTGCTGTGGTGAATTGTGCGTGGTTGTTGTTGTTGTTGTAGTCGTATGTTGGCTGTTGCCACCAGCGCCATTGTTGGAGCTTGTTGCCGCTGCAGTGGTCTTTGTCAAGCGCTTTTGCTGTACGTGCACCGAATTCGGCTGCAATGACAGTCCCACATCTACATCTTCTGCTATCTCTTCTGCATCTGCATCTGCCACTACCGCTGCTACCGCATCCTCGGCCTGCTTATCATCATCAGCAGTGGGCGCAACGCCACTTGTCTGTCCGCCAATGCGGCGTGGTGAACCCTCGTACTCTGTGCGCGCGAAATATACAAAAATAAGGAAATAGTGTTAGTGGTGATAGCTGCTGGCAGCAATGTAGCTAAGCGCATAATAAATGCTAGTAAAGATTGTGTGCTTGGTGCCAAAGGGATACACGTACCTATGATGCCGTGTCGCGTTTCCACTGCGTGCATTGTGTAGCCACTTCGATCCAAGTATCTCTTTGGATGATCCTTGTACATTATTGACGTGCCATTGTTGCTAGTGTTGTGACTTCCTGTCACCTCCACATCGCCGTGGTTGTTGACGACTTGTTCAGCGTATTCATCTTTGTCGTCGTCAACCAGTGTCAAGGATGTGGGTTGTCTGTGGTGCTTTTGTTGCTGCTGCTGCTGTAGCTGGTGTCGAGTCATAGCTGGTGGTATTGTTGGGGCGCTTGTGTCGGTTGTTACTCTCAAATCTGTATATAGAAAAAAATGTTAAGAAAATGTTTAGTTATATTTTAGGTTATTTGTTGCTGTAAACGCAAGCAAAATGGAAACGGAAATCTGCGATTTGTCAGAGTTTACTGATATTGTATTCGAAAAATTAGTATATCACAGTTACATAAATATTCGTAAATAGAACAAAATTATTTACCTATTTTGACTCTTTTTCTATAAGAATGGGAGGTTCATTTTGAATCAAATACCTAATAAGTTCTTCGAAAAGGGCTTCACTCAAAGAACACTGCAGTTGTATTGATACCTTGAGTCAAACGACAAGGCTGGTAAAAGTCATTAAAAAAGACCAACAGCTGGATTCACTCAAGATGCCAAAGGTTATTTCACGGATACAAGGAGTGAGACTCTTTGAGTTCTTTTGAAGACTAATTTTTCTGGAAATCATTATTACTATTATTATTGGACATAAAGCACTGCGACCTCAAGATCAGTTGTGTTCTTTCATCGATTTATAGTGTGTCTATTAACCCAGTATCTGAATGAGACCTTAGTATGGAGCCTAAATCTACGGATTCTACTTTGGCGTTGGTTATTAAATATTCACCCAGGAGTCTTATACGTTTGTGCATTAGTTAAGGAAACCCTTCTAACATGTACTGTGTGGTCCGTCCTGCAGTCTTCTTCGCTCCTGCGAGTAAATTCCCTGTATAGTCAGTAATAGTTCAGCTCATAAATTCTATAAAGCGTTTTAGGTTATATGTTTCTAAAAGTGCTTTGCATTGCTCTAGATCTGGTAGACTATCTTAGCAGCGATTTCTTTTAGTCTCTGTCTCTAATCGGGTCAGGTCACAGAAGGGTTTTGGATCGATGAAGGGGATTGCTGCTCCCTTTTTCGCAAGTTTACCAGCAATCTGGGTTTTATGCAATGTCTCGGAATGTAGAGAATCCAAACTCGATTGGACGGACCAACAGTGCTCAGCACTCCATCATCAGTTTACATGTTACCTTATGAGATATGAGGGCTTTGATAGTCGCTTGGCTGTCAGTTAAGATCGCGATGTTCTGATCCTGTAGTTTCGTTTAAAGTCTGTGCATCTTTCCATGGCATATGTTTCAGCCTGGAAAATTGACATATGGTTTTCTATGGGTTTCGAGTATCTTAGCCTCGGTCCAACTACAGCTACCCCCGGTACCATCTTCAGTAAATGAGCCATTAGTGTACCAGGATATCATATATGGCTTGGATAAGCTTTTACAGCTCTTCCTATTACTCACATCAGTTCACATCTTTGCAAAGTTGAAACTACCACGCAACAACTATATACTTCTGGTGGGTCACACAACTGGTCACAATTTGTTAGCTAAGAACGCCGTAAAAATGGGTTTGGTGAGTAGTGATAACTGTAGGAAGTGCGTAATGGAACAAGAAACGGTGGAGCACATATTGTGCGGTTCTCCAGTGAAGACAAATTTGCGTCTCAACTGCTTCGGGAGGCGTTCCTTACTAACCTCGAATAGGCAACAAAAAAAAGGGTTTCACAAAATCGCTAAGAAGGTTACATGAATTCTTGAGATAGCGCTCACTTATGGTATGACCGACGCATTATGGTCGGTGTGTGGATGTGAATACCACTCGGTCAAAGTCATCCCATGCCCATATCTACTACTGAACACGTAGGGTATTCTGTGAATGCCTTCTGTGTGGCGCTTCTCATTGCACCGCTTGTCCAACTACATGGGTGGACAAAAAAAACTAGGGCGACCACGAACACTTAGGAAGTGCCTTGTGCAAGAGGATCTATATATCAACACTTGGTATGAATAACTGACAGCATTTTGCGAAGGAAAAAAGTCTTGGCCTGAACTCAACAGGTAGTTATTACTATAAAAAAATAAAATAAAACACCGAGAGTAGTTTTGTAGCGCACGTTCATTGTAATACTATCTAAGCGACTTGCGGCAAACTAAAATTCCAATAAAACAGATCAAAGCGAGTAATTTTCGAAAGCTTTAGTCATTAATCAATACGGTCTTGTATCTTGTAAAAGGAAACAAAAATATAAATGTTTTTTACTCACTTTGCCAACTTTCGGCGATATCGTCGAATACCACCATTTCCCCATTATTAGCCACAGAATGTCCGTTTGTATTGGCGACGTTGCTGTGCTTCCTGGAGTTCCGGTGTTTTACAGGCTGGTACTGTTGCGGTTCACCCGCATAGACATCACTGCAACGGCCTTGTTCTCTTTCAAAATCACGTTCACGTTCTCCCACGTTTGATCTTTCCTTTTCTTTTTCTCGTTCTCGTTGCATTTTTCTTTCATTTTCTCGCTCACTCAACTCTAGCTGCCATTCTCGCTCGCGACCACGTTCCCGTTCCCGTTCGTGCTCGCGCTCATGTTCGCGTTCTCTTTCCCTTTCCCAATCACCCACATAAGCTGCTGCCGCCTTCCGTTGTTCCCGTTGTTCTCTATCGCGCTCCCTTATCTCGCGCTCGACAAGTATACTATTATCGCTGACACTAATGACATGTTGCTGCTGTTGCGGTTGCAGGTCCAACGACGTTTTGCTCCCATACAAATAATGACTAGCGATCGGTGTGAGACCTTCAGCGCATGAATTTTGTACGGCATGCAGACCACTTTGTTGCTGTTGCTGTTGCTGTTGCTGCTGCTGCATTTGCTGTTGCTTATAGTTATGACCGTGTTTTGTACCCATTTCAGCATATTGCCCACCAGCGGCGTCGGGTTCCGTTATGGCGCGAGCAAGACGGCTGATGTGTTGTGATTGTGGGCGCTGCGCTGCCGGAGGATGGTGTTGCCGGGGAGGAACACTATTTGTGTAAGGCTGTTGCTGGTAATGCGACCGTCGCGCGGTTATTTTGGTTGCTGCGATATCAACTGGTTTTGTTGTCGTGGACGTGGAACCGAATGTGGTTGATTGAGTGCTGACAGAAGTTGTTATGTTGTGGGACTCCGCATCGCCTATGTCATTGTAGCTGGGCGGTGAAGTCGCATGTTCAGTATCATTAGTGATATGCGCCGCCGTTGCTGCTGCTTCATTTGTGGCATTATGACGCACTGTATCCCAGTAGTTGCCATCTCTTATAAATGGATTCTGATTAAAGCTGCCCGTTGTTACGTTCGCGCCATGGTTGGCTTGCTTGTGTTGTTGTAACAGTTGGACTGGCTGATGCTGTGGCTGCTGCTGTTGCGCCGCTGAGCTCGTAATATGCGTGTACGGCTGCTGGGTGGGGTGGTGGTGCGTGCCATAACTGGCGCGCTTACGTGGCATTTCGTAACTGTTGCTGCTGTCGCCGGTTTGATGTTGGCGCTGCCGCGCTTGTGACTGCGAATGTTTCGTTTCGGTGTGGTAGTAGAATGTAGGCGGATACGAGGGCACGGGTAGCTCTTCGTCTTCGTCTTCAGCGATACCGTTATCGTTAATATTTTCGACCTCGATCTCGTCGCTGCAGATGCCGTGTTCGTTATAGAGATCGCCGCCGCCTTTATCGTTGCGCGTACGACGTGTGCTCAATGCTTGTTTCTCTTCCTCGCTGTTTCTGTGTTGATGGCGAGCTGCGCGCTCAAGTGGTTTTCTCTCCACGCTGCCTGTATGACTAAGAAACGGATTTGTCGAAATACGTGGGGTCACCGACGACAGCGACTCGGATGACACCGAAGACGTTGAGGGCGGTGGTGGTGATTGTGTGATAATATTGACGCTTTTGTAGTAGTTGGTTGTCGTGGTCGCCGCCACTGGCACCGGCACTGACGGCAGTGGTGTTGGTGTTGGTGCTGTTGCTGCTGCTGCTGTTTCAACCCTGATGTTCACTGTGGACTCGTTGTCGCACACGTCTTGTTCAAATTTCGGGTTCAAGCGTTTTTTATGACTACCAACTGGCGTGCTGGGTGTGTACTCTTCGTTCTTCGATAGTGCGCGCGTGGCGTTTAAGGCTTCGCTATCACAGCTACTATGACTTTTGCTCTGAATGTTGTCGCTGCGACTGGTTGCGGCGTTGCTATTTGGTGACAATTGACGTGGTCGACACTTCGGAAATAATAGCGATATTTGATCGTTCAGCAGCGGCGGTGAGGTGGAAAGAAGCGCTTGCGAAAAATTTACAGTTGTTGTTGCTGTTGTTGGCGACTTTGTGACTGCTGTCGATTCATGGCTCTGTGGCTGTTGCTCCTCTACGTTTGCGGTTTCCTCCTCCGCCGCAGGCGTTATTGTTGTTGTGGGAGAACTGCTGTTGCTAGTCTGGTCGTCGCCAGCAATATTGCCACTACCGTTGTACAATGACGAAGGTCGCGACGAGTAATGAGATGAATGGTGGTAGTCTACGCCAACGTCAGCATCACTCGCTTGCCCCGTTGCGGGGGTGAGACCACTTAGTGAAACGGTTTTAGCCGCAACTCTGTTTTTGACGTTGCTGCCGTTGCTATTGCTTCTGCTGGTGCTGTTGTTATTGTTATTATTACTACCAACACCATTTAATGCTAATGAGTTATAATAGCTGTTATGTGTCGTTGTCGACGACGATGTTGACGATGATGGATGGTGATACGATTGTGTGTGCTGATGTTGTTGTTGTTGTTGCTGCTCGGATGCTGATCTCTGGTAATTGGAATTGTTTGCGGTTGCAGCTGCGGTTGCGGTCGAGCCTAGTGTCGCCGCCGTTGCTTGTTGCTGTTGATGTGGATGATGATTTGAGCTACTCGTTGGTTGTCCAGCAGCAATTGTTGTTGTTGTAGTTGTGCTTACCATTATTATTGCCAATGAACTGTTTTTTTAGTGTTGACAATAGAGGGGGGGAGAGAGAGCAGATAAAAACAAAAATTAGTATGCAAGTTTGTAATAGCTTTGAGAAGAGCTTAAGTTTCGATTACTGTTACATTATAGCTTTTAATTCTTCAACATTTCTGTTACACGTTCTTTTGCTCTCTAACGGCAAATTAATACAAACAATTGGTGAGGTTAACATAAATAAGCGATAAAAAATCAACCTCTTTCCCGAGAAGCGCGAGTTTTGTACCGGCAAAGCCTGCTATTGGCGGGGCGGTATTAAGGTCTTCAGGCTATATAATCAGAATATTAAATTCAGGCATTAGAATCAGAACACATCGATGGTGTCGGATATAAAAAAAATGATAGCTACCCATTCATTTGTTACATTCGATTTTTGTTGAAGTTTATAAATTTTTTTAAGTATTATTTTGGCAATCTAAAAATGAATGTAAGATTATTGCGTAATATAATGTTGCCTTGAGAGCTATTACTTGAAATCAAGCAAAAATAAATACACACATACGACCTTAATATATCAGTATCGCGGGGTACCCCCTTTATTTCATTCTACGTACAAAATAAATATATTTACGAAAATTTAATAATAAAAAAAAAAAAAAATAAAGTTTCGGTACGCGCGTTTGAACAAAATTTCGTTGACCATCTATAACTCAGCGAGTTTGTGAATTTATATGAATAAGTTTCAGAAATATGTGAAATTGACCAGATTTCAAGTCAAAATTTTTAGAATTTCTGCGATTTAAAAATAGTTTAATTTTTTTAAACCCTGTTAGCGACCATAAAAATTTGATTAAAACTAAAAATTTATCAAACAAAAAATTAAAAAATTAATTTTGCAGTTATTGCAATAGGTAAAATCATACCCGGAATATCATTTTTACTTTAACTTAAAAAAACCTGAATTTTATTATGTTGAACATTTTCCAGAAGTTTTCGGAATTTTTTTGGAACTTTTGGAAATTTTTATTCGGGGTTTTCTGGATTATTTGTTTGGCTTTCGTAAATTTATACTATTTTTCCGGGGGCTTCCTGATTTTTTTTGGAGTTTTTCCCTGATTATTTTTCGATATCTTTTAGAATTCCTGTATATTTCTACACTGATATTTTTTGGGACTTTTGTATATCGGGAATTTTTGGTATTCCTGGTGATATATTTTCTAAGAGCTTTTCCTACAACCATTCGGGATTTTTCGAGAAATTTGAGGAAGTTTAAAATAATAACTTCGCTTTTTATGAATGCCTAAAAAATAAAAAAGGTTTTACGACCAAATTTAGCCGTTATTTTATAAGTTTTATTTTTATTCGATCGTTAAGTTTAGATTTCTTTTCGATCGATTTTTGATCCTTAGTTTTGGTGTTTATTTTCAGATTTCATTTTTCATGAAGCAATGATGTAAAAGCAAAAATCTTGATATTCAACGGGGTTTTTTCGGTCCCTGCTACAAACTGAAAGATGCAAATTTTAACCGAATTTATGAAAAACTAGTATAGAGGCATAATTTTAGCCGAAATCGAATATTATAAATATCGTCGTTTCACCATTCTGTATACTATCTTTGTATGATAAATGATTTCAACCATTTTCGGTAATATTATTGCTCCAGTTATCGTGTATACGGACACACAGACGGACAGGTATAGAGCTTCAAGAAATTTCTGGACTGATTTTAGGATTTTAAGGGACCTTTCTTGATGTTTTTCGGGATTTTTCTACATATTGTGGGAAGTTTTGTGTGTTTTACGTAATATATGCATTTTTATAATTTGTTTGTAATCTATATCGTATTTTTCTGGAACCTTTCGTAATTTACCGAAAAATTTCAGAAAGGCACAAAAGATCTTCTGGTCGCAGTGCATCCTTCAACGGAATATGAAAAGAAATGACATGCAATACTTTAGATAGCTTCAGCACCAACTTTTCCCTACAAAAAAGGCGAAAACTCAAATTCATAACACTTATATTCGCACAAAAGCATTATGGTTGATTTCCACCAAGCGAGATGCCAACTCGAAGGGAGTAATTCCACGTATTAAGTAGAACCAAACGAAAGGAAAAAAGCAAAACTTAAGAAAAAAATCTTGCCGATAACCCCATGTTGGAATTATTGGAATTTCTCTGAGCTCTTAACTGCAGTTTAGCCTTATTCAATGATATTTAATTTAATTCAGTCTATTGTAATTTTTTAAATTTTACACATTTTTGCTTAATTATAAAATATACTCGTATGTTACACCATCGGAGGGTAATGACTTCATTTAATCAAAAGATTTTTTTATTTTCAATTTTTATTTGGTACATATCAGATGAAAAAGCCGTACTGAGGCTCACACAGAAATCTAAGTACACATGTACTATGTAGCCTGCAGGGAAAGCTACTAGTTGTGAACTGTAATGCTACCAGTTTGCGTTCCAGCCCAACTACTTGGCGTTGTATCCTTTTTCAATGTTAGCACCTGGTATTTTTAGCATGGCGGTGTCATATGAGTAGTCAATTGTCAGCACCCTACCAGTAGAAATACTAGTAGCATCATACCAGTTGACGGGATAGACTGCCAATTCATACCCCGTGAAAAGCACAAGTATGCCATTTTGTTCGCGACGCTGTAACAGTGGCAATGGCCGACAGGTCAAAGCTCTGGCGCGCCATTCCAAAGATTCAGGGTTCGAATCTCAGACAGAGGATTTTTTATTTATATTTTTTAATGTATTTAATTATTATTTATTTATTTATTTATTTTTCTATGGTATTTGAGTACATAATTAGATTTTTTCCTAATGCAATTAAATTTAAAATTATAAATTCTTATATTAAATTTGTTGAAATAATTGGCTTATGTACTTTACTTTAATCACCTCCACACGGACTCGAACCTGAGATCTCAGCACCAGAACCGGTAGTCTTCACTCGACAATTGAGAGTAAAGCAATTAACTGCATTTTAGTTTTGGTTTCGACAATTCAAACACAGATGGCGCTGGCCATATCAGTTATTTGAAATCTTCGAAATGGTAAGCCGTCGCTTTAGCACATACTAGTTAATGAACTAGTATTTTTACTGGCCGGTTGGGCATTTAACTGCGGAGAACTGGTATAATTATAGTCCATGATGAACTGGTATGAGTTTCTTATTGAATACCAGTTTTCTAACTAGAATTTCTGCCAACTAGTTTACTTTTTCTACGAGGATCTGGTGTAATTAGAGTTCATAACGAACTGGTATGACTTCTATCCTTAAATAATAGTTCATGAACTGGAATTTGTGCAAACTAGTTCAGTTTTTCACTGCGGGGTATGTATGAACTTAGTACATACATAGATAACATGTATGCAAGTTAATGATGTGCAAGCATACGCACAGATGTACATATTCATAGATGTATATAATGTGAAGTTCTCTTTTGTAATCGATAACTTTAATGTTTCCGCACAGGTTATAAATATAAAGAACACAAGCATGCATCTGGGCGTAAGAACTCTTGAAGTGAACATTGTATGTATGTGTGTACTAAGTACAATGAAATATCAAATATTGAAGCCTATATGTATGTATATGCTTTGACATGCACCTGTGCGTTTGTTTACCTGCGTGTAAATTTCATTTATTATAGGCAGATGAAAAATTTGCGTAAATAAACATTTTTCTAAGAGAATAATTAATATGTATGCAAATTCAGGCGATATATTTGTAAGCTTTATAATTTTCAGAAATGCATATCACATGAAAAATGATGACAGATACTTTTTGATGTTCTTTAACTTTTCCGAATTGGGAACAAACTTCCTTCAGTTAACTACAGCCTTGGCTGGGACGACATTAAAATGACATACACATGTTAATATGTACGTAGGTATGTATGTATGTACATATATTTATGTATGTCTGCGTCTAATATCGATCCCATAATAATAATATAAATCTCTATTGTCAACCGTTAAAAAACTTCTCCAAATAAAAGGATGTGTGGAATAGACGCAGTTTACATATACATACATATAGTGCTTATCATAACTACACTATACTTACATATTAACAAAATTAGACTATTTGTTTTAATATTTTTGATATTGATAATTTTTCTTATACACAGAAAATAAAATCTGCGTAAATATAACGAAAACTTGCGTAAATCTTACGCAATTTTTCGTCATTTTGAGCCACGAAAGTTTTCGTTGATTGTACAAAACCGTTTTCGTACATACTACGAAAATATGAGGCATCAGAATTTTAGTACATTTTACGAATGTATTGTAGAATTTAGTACTATTTACTAAAGAATTTCGTACTACTTACTAAAAAAATTCGTACTATTTCTTTATTTTTTTACGAAATTACTTTCGTAAGATCTGCGCTTGTTTCGTAGAATGTGCGATTTTGCTTTCATTCTCCACACTGTAAAAAACATATTACGAACTATAACACAACACTTTTATTTTGTTTTTATCGTTAATTTTAGGCGTTTCTGTTTAACAAAACGGTTTGCAAAAACGCTTAACATTATTGATTAAAATATAATGAAAGTGTTGTGCTATAATTTTAGTCATGTTTCTTATAGTGTTAATAATTATTAATTATTATAATAAAAGCAATCATATGTTCTACGAAAGAAGAATAATTTTCTGACTACACTGTAGTTTAGAATTAATAAAAAAGGTTATTTTACCTATAATAAAACTTAAGTCTTTTATTTATATGCATACGAATAGGTTCTATACTACATATTTTTTATTGCTTAGGCTTCATTCAATAAAGTATATTGATGCAAAGTGTGAGACTCAACAAAACTAAATATAATAAGATATAAAATATGAAAGAATATAAAAAATACTGGTTTTACTTTCTTAAACATTATAATATTTTTATGTAGAGGCACTTGACAGATTCGTAGCTTCATCGATGTTTGTTTCCTTGACGACTATAAATTAAAAGAAAATTATAAGGCGTCTGAAAAGCAAGTTTCAGTGAAAAGTCATAC